AACCAAACAGCTCCCCCAAAAGCCCCCCCAGCTCCCGCGGAGAAGGGTAAGCATCTCACAAACACGTGCGGTTTTCCACCAGACCAGCTGTTCTGATGAATTAAGAAATAAATGAAATGGCCAGAAAGAGACTGCGAATGGCAGAGCATCCTCGTGCTCCTACAGAAGGGCTACATCTCCCGTGGCTACAGCCCTCGTCCGGAGCAGGGAACGAGCACAGAAGTTGCAATTTCACGAGCTCGGGAGAGTCCGAGCAGTTATTGGCAATTACCTAAATCAAGGTCCGGTCCTTCTTCCATGTGTCCTGCCAGTCAGGAAAGAATCATAAGAAGCTGTGTTAGTGCACGCCTTGCAGGCTGAAGAACCGACACACACAATACTATCTACTTATAACCACCATTCGATGGCGCTGGTTAAACTCAAATTGACCTGCATTGCAAAAACATCAGCAATGCACCTTTTACTTGGTGATCGGTTTGCTATTTTTAGCAGCCTTTCAAACCATAACCACTATTACACTTTTTTTTTTTAATGCTTTACCAGGCCAATCGGTTTTACGTTCATTAATAAAAAGTTACTTTACGAAAAATTTATTAAATCCAAACCATTTATTTTCCCCAAATTACAGAAGTGGTTGCTCAATTCTTCCAAGTTACCCTGTGTCCTGTAACCGCATACCCCTAGGCATTGCCGGCAGTACCCATTACAGTCTTGTTGCATATGTCATTTTAACCACTTAAGCTAATAAAAATTACACTTTGTTCTACAAACTGACTGCAATTTTTTTTTTTTTTAACACTATCCATTGTAATGCTCAAAAACTTACCACCAGGCTTATTGAAGCCACCTCGCTCTCCAGCGCTGCTGGGGGGATAAACGAAGAAATGAAGGCCTTTCCCTTTACAAAGCCAGTACCGCTCTGAGCCTCTGCGGCTCACTGGGAAGAAGGGCACTGGCTAAACATCTCCAAACAATGCATCTGTCTCTCTCTCTCTCATCTCGGCACTATGCCTTTCTTCAGGGCAGCTCGCTCAAATTTCCTTTACATATACGCAACCTCGCTTGTCTGGTTTTAGACACCACTTTGCTGTCGGTACCCTTGCATTACTTGTATGGGTATTATCAGTGCAATACTTGGCAAAAAATGTCTTCGAGCGTTATAAATTGGGCTTTTGCTTCAGAGGAATCGTGGGGTCGTTCGCTGGTCAACTCCCTCCCCTCTGTGTGTACATAAAGGTGCACCCTCAGCCTCTCGCAGCACGAGAGCGAAACGAGCCCGCGGGTCCCTGACATTAACAGTTAAAAGGTAGGAGACAATCATACGCGATACCTACAACACAGTTCAGATGACATTTCCGCTAAAAACCTCGGTATAAAGCCATACATTCAGGTCACTACTGAATTTAACAAGTCTCTGTGGAGGGAGAACTTACAGAATACAGCGGGGGCTCGAAGGCCTGGGGTGCAGCTTTGTGGACACAGACCAGAACGGAAGATTTCGGCACGCGCCAATGCAAACTCACGGCCGCAGCTTTCGTCAAAAAGCTTTGGCTGAAGCGTTCAGCTAAGACTGCTTTCAAGCGCTGGTTAATTAGGAAAATGCCACCTGAAAAGGATTTTGATGTTTCTTGCTCTTTTTGGAGACAAAAAGCTGTTTGGAAGGAGACGAGCAGAGGAGGGAGAGCACCGCCTATTTTCTAGCAAGTATTGCACCTCTAATACTGGAAAAAAATAAGTCGTCAATACACAGTTTCAAGCTGTTGCATGCAGCTTTGCCTCCTTTTGTTAAAGTACACACCATTTACGTAATGTCTCTCTTTTTAAACATATACGTTTACACTTGTTAACGTTACACAATTCTAAAGTAGTATACCTCCTCTGGTTTTATTACCAAACAACAAGTATGCAGTTACCAAAGTTACAGAAGGATTCCATTTATACAATGAATACATTTGGTTAAAAATATTCTATGTATATTTTTCCTCTCCATATGGACACCGTGTCTAGTCCCACTTTTCATTATGCTGCCGGCTGAGTACTGAGTACGGGTACTTTTTAAGTATTGAAGTGTATACAAGGCTCTCACTTTGTAACCTGTAGCATATAAATGCGACAAAGCATGTTAAAAAGTTTCCATGTTTAACAGCCAATGAAAATATAAAATAATTGAGTCAATGAAAAAGGGCACGTTAATAACATCGAGCTCCTTACCTGCCGGAGACACTGAAATCCATCACCACAGCATGATAAGAAGGGCCGAGTTCCCCTACCTGCCCCTTGGCGTTCATAGGAAGGCCACCTTTTCTATGGACAGCAGAAAGTCTACGTCCATAAAGCAGGGGAGCCTTTGTAATGGTCTAGTCAGGTGGGAATCACTACGTACGCAATTTAAGCTCAGATTAGGGCGTGAAATCAGAGACAGATGACAAATCTTTTGCATGAGGAGCTCCGAAGGGGCTAGAAATTTTAAGATGTGATGATAGACATTTCAAGTGCCTACATCTACTTTAAACCATTAGAGATAAATACATCATGGGTGAAATCTTTATGCAGAACCATGGAACTCTGTTCCACTCGAGCCAATTCAAGCCAGATGTGCTCCAACGCAAGCCAGTCTTTTTCTTCTATTTCCATACACTGGTAGTTGTATTTCTCCGATAAAGATTTCATGCCACTTCAATTCATTTCGACAGAGCTATGCAGAATGGGTCTATTGATTGCCAAACTCCGGTTGCCACCAGGTTGTGAAAGACCTTCAGAAGTTGCCTATCCAGGAGAAGCTGAATTCCGGCTGCCCTGCCAAGTACCAGGGCTAGCACTGCGCATCCCACGCCACATCTCCAGTGTGCACCTAGGGACACTCTGCATAGCTCTGAACGACGATGTGAAGGGATGGAACACACACAAAGCTCCATCTTCCTTCTCTTGGGAGCCTTTGGGACTAGTCCTCCTTCCTCCCCTCTAGCAAAACGAACATCACAGACGGGGAGACACACTGCTGACCTGAGGGCGTAGGTTTACCAAACCAGATTTTGCCACCAGCTAACATGGCCAAACTGATTTAGACCACCTGCAAGCTCCAAGGGGAGCAGTCCTGGGAGCCAAGCCAGATCTCTCTGCTTTCTCGGGGTCCAACCAAGCTCCGAGTGTTCTGGCCACTCAGGGTCGTGGCTTCGACAGCAGCAATCTTGCCCCAGGCACACCCTCACAGACGTAGCTCCGCGTGCTACTGCTAAGGTGAAGAGGCTGACGGCGTAACATGGGGCTTCTGCCTTGTACACACCTGAACTGTCAAGATCCCCACTAGAGAGGCCAGGGAGTGACTCCTGGGCCTGGCGGAAGGTTTGTGTGTGTTCGATCCGGAGTTACTGTTAAACCTCGCAGAGGATTTCACCTCTGCGCAACCACGAAGGGAGCTGAAAGTTCCAGGTTTAGCGATACCCCTAATTCCCCCCAGGGCCCAACCAGCTGCAGGACAAAAAAACAGATCCTGCTCCTATTTCCCCTAGGATAATATTTCCATGGATTAGAAGCAATGCTGCTACAGAGATGTTCTCCATGGAAGTACCATTGGGAATGTCAACCTTTCAGTCCCTTCTTTCCATTTCAAATCCTATGGGTAAACCAGAATTAGATAAAAGGAGAAAAGACTTGCTCTTACCCCATTCCACCGCGTCCTCCTCCCCGCCCACCTCTGCTCATGCCTCCGCGATCATATCCCCCTCTTCCCCTGCCCCGGTTATCAGGGCCGCTCATATTCCGGTTCTCTCCTGGGCCTGAAAAGCCTCCGGATTCCTGTCCATATACGTTCATGCTGCTAGGATGGTCCTGACGGAATGAGCCTGAGGAAGTTTGTAACAAACACGTTAGGGAGCTGCAGACAACAGTGGGTTGAAGCTGCCTGTCCACTTTTTAAGCCCTTTTACCCGCCTTCAGCACCAATCACTTGCTACGGCGCTTACAGCAATCGCGTTAATTTAAGGAGAGATGCACAGCTCTCTGTTTGCAGAATCAAGTTTTACATTAGGCCCTACCAGTATGACTCCTGCCCGCTGCCACCTGGCCAAACAGAATTGTTTACGCCAAGCCTTGCCCACTCCAGTATTTTGTGCTCTGTGTTTTTCGACCATCCGTTCGCCTTCGCGACGCTGAGGGGAGTATCACGATTTGACACTGCACCAGGCAAGCCGTTATTCAGTGAGAAAGGGCAAATCCCAGCTACAGTGTGCTCTCCTTTCAACACAGCTGCAAGCTTCAGACCCAAAGTCACGCCAAGCCTCCTTCAGAGACAGCCCACCCTGCGAGGGCGAGGGAGACCGACCCCTTCCTCCGCAACCACGCCGCTCTGCTAAGCACACTCACTCTGTTGGCCGTAACTGCTGCTCTGCTGGCTGTACTGGCTTGGGGCCTGGCTGTAGGATCCCGTCTGGGGCGGGTAACTAGTCGGCGGCGGCTGCTGCCCGTAGCTGCTTTGCTGGCCATAGCTAGTCTGTTGTCCGTAGGTGCTCTGTTGCCCGTAGGTGCTCTGCTGGGAGTAAGTGCTCTGATCGTAACTGCTTGGCTGCGTAGAGGAATAGCTGGAAGACAAAAGCATTGAAAAGACGGAAAGATGAGCCAAGTCACTGGCAATGTGCATTAGGCTGCAGAAGTGGCTCACACTAGAAGGTAATGCAATTATAAGCCATATGTACTGTTGTAAACCATTTAAAAAGGTGAAGTCATCCTATGGAGGCTAGTCTGGTGGCAGGAGACAAAATAAACCTGGTAGACTGCTAAAAGCAAAATCTATGCGACTGTTCACAATTTATTCATACCTCTAGAAAGAGGCAGAAGTGCCAGGGCAAAAATCAGTGGCAATGCAAGTAACAGTCTCCCTTTCTGCCTTGGCACTGAAATATTTTCAGCTGATGGATAATAAAACAGTCCCCCTTCATGCATCTCAGGCTTTGAGAATTTCCGAACATACGCTTTGGAAGTCAGCATATTAAAGACACCTGAAGGGAAGAGGTGAGCCCCTTGTCAAAGCCAGTGTAAGGAGGCAGCAAAAGATCACTATAACACACTCCATATCTAGGAAATTTCTTAAAAACATTTGTCATTGTTACACCTTGCTACTGCAGGTACGTATGTAGAGACACTTACACACTCAGTCATAGCCACATCTTCCCTACGACAAGAAGTACACCAACAAGAACCACACCTCCCTCCTCCCAGGACACCAAACCTCCTTTTACATCTGTTTGTTTAAAATCCCTTGAGAAAACCCCTTTTGCCCAAGCTAACCTGAAAGTTCCCACGCCAGCTGCATGAGGCTTAGCCTGCTGGGAGAGTTACCTGGTAGGAGGATAGGAGGGAGGCGCAGTGACCGGCTGCATCGGGTAGCTGGCAGGCACCTGAGGATAGCTGTAGCTGCTCTGTCCATACCCGAGGCTGGGCTGGCTGTAGCCTGTCGTACTCGATTGCGGCTGGCTAGTCTCTGCTGGTTTGCTGCCATCCTGGGGTCTACGGAGCAGTATCAAACAAGAAGGAAACATTGCTGCAAGCCCCCACCTCTGGTAGCAGCGAAGGCGCTCAGATCCCCCCCTCAGGACAGAAGGGCACTACCTATTTCTTTGGGTAGCGTCACAAGCTGGCACCACATCAGTGTCCGTCACTCTGACAGCAGCTAATATATGCTCATTAAACACTAAACATTATAGCACCTGCTGACTGGGTATTCGCACACTCCCGTGCCATCAGGAAAGGCCCGGGCAGCATCCTGAAGAGAGGGCACAGAGTGCTACAGCTTCTGGTCACCAGCTGTGTTATGAAACCAAAGGCGAGGGATTTAGCCTTCGGCTCTAGAATTGAGTCGAGGATGTGAAATGGCCAGGGAGCACTGCCCCGCCGCTCGAGCTGGTTTTGCACAACGCTTGGAAACGATTAGCTCAAAAGCAGCCAGAAACGTTGTCAGTTAAATGCACCATTGTTTGGTTTAGAATCCAGTGCAAGCTGATATTGCCCCGTATACATTATCCAATGAAAGGGAAAGGATGTTGGGGGTTAGACTAGATGACCTTTAAGGTCCCTTCCAACCCAAATTGTTCTATGGTTCTACTATTTAGTATTAACTCTCAAGGCCTGAAAATAAAGAGAACCCTTTGCATGTGACTCGCATGTCCCCTTCTTTTATATTCGTCCCATGCTGTTTATAATCTCCAAGTGTTTATTGGAGCGGAGTAAAAAGAGTTAAGCTACTTTTGTTGTACAAGCTGGGAAAAAATTATTTTATGATGTCAGGATTCATACTTACAAGTGTAATCTGACAGATATGGACAGAGCTGTGCCAAGCTCCGCCTTTCCTTACTGGAGTGGTTGCTACAAACATCAGGTAAATGATTAAAGAAGTTTTTACTCACTACTAAACAAGTTTCCTTTATGTATTCTAAATCTTTCATATCCTGAGCAAACAATTAAACTAAATATACTATTGACAGTGCCCAGACGCAAGAGATTTAAAAAGGAAACTGTCTACAGCGTGTGCATCCACTCAAGAAGTCACAGTACGTAACAGTATCCTGCCTGACCCTGTGACTCAAGATCAGATCAAACTGGTCCGTTTTCTGCTCTCCATCGTGAGTCAAGAGCCCATTTTTGCTGCTTGGTTGCTCTCCTCGTCTCCCAGTAACAGTGCTGACTCACCGAGCCGGCGCAGAACCTCCCTATGTGGCTTCCCCCAGCCCTGAAACGCGATGGGATCGGATGCAGCAAGAGCAAAGCTCAAGCGCAACAGGCAGAGAAAAGGTGTAAGCAAAACCAGCGGGCCCCAGTTCAGCTGGTGGTGTGCTGGGGCTCTCCCCAACAGCAGAGCAAACCCAGCCTTAGGGGGAAGAGAGGAACCAGATGTTACCTTGTGGGAACGGATGCTGCTGGCTGCTGCCCGTAGGCTGGGTAGGCGGGCTGGGTGCCGTAAGCGGACGGTGCTGCGTAAGAAGCCTGGGTGGTGGTAACCGTAGCGGTGTTGGTATCGTAGGCGGCTGTGCCATACCCCTGGACGGGCTGACTGTACGCTGGGGGGGCAGTCGGGGTGGTATAACCTAGAACAGACAACAGCCCCATCAGATGAGTTTGACGACCTTCACTCGTAACGTTTCAGACTATTGCGCTTCTGTTGACAGACCTCGGGTACTCCACCGATTTTACCACTGCAAAAATATCACAGGTAACCCGAAAACGATAAACTAACCCACGCCGCCCCTTCGCCTTCCTCAGAGAAACCCCCTGCCCTGGGAAGCCTCAGCCTACAGCCCCAGCTCTACCCTCACCATCCAAAAACCACGCTCCGAGGAGCTTTCTGGAAGCCACCCTTCAATCAGCATCCAAAGGCTGTTTGTTTACAGCTACCGAAGCTCACAGCTAATGTAATAAAGCGCACAGAGGGCAAGCTGAGGCATGCAGCGTCTTCTGAAAGCAGGAAGACTAAACAAAGCTCCTGTTAGCCCTGAAGTAAAAGAAACCCAATTGATTTAAGAAGTACAGTCCCATCCTTTCAGCTTTTCTGAAAAATAAAAGCACAAAATAGCACCAGACTGACTTGTCAAGTCTTTCTGAGCCATTTATAAAGTCTTATTTTAAATCAGTAATTCTGGAAACTAAAGAAAAGCACTTTACATTCGCTTTAAGTTAAGACAAAGGTCAAAAAAGACACATAAGGTAGCTCCTGATGTTTTATGTACCTTCGCTTTTCTTAGAATTTCAGTTTGTTTTAGGTAAAAAGCTTAGAGGTCATACATTTATTTCTGAACAATTTTACAAGAATGTCCAAGATCCCAAAACAGCTCCGTTTAAATTAGTCTTTCCAGCAGCCGCCGCTGTATAATTTAGCCGACCATTTGGCTTGTCACAAAGGTGAACTATAAACCCAGCATTAACACGGTGGCTTTTTATAGTTAACAACTTTGTGAGCAGGTTTTCAAATTATGAAACGGAGACTTAGATGAAAAAAGATCAATTAAAAATTGTGTTAGCAAAAGCTGACTTACTGAAAACATGGATTGCCAAAGAGCAGCCAACTGGTCTCAGTCGTATTGATGTGATCTTAATTGCATCAATTAAGATAACAGCTTCTCCATCGCTTCTTATTTTTAATAAACATAGGACACTTGTGACATACTCTTCCTTCTAATTATACAGCATTTTAGGCAAATTGTGATGTAGCTTTTTATTTCAATTCCCTAATTTGCAAAACAAATATACTTCCAGCAGAATATAGCATGCCCTCCCAAAGCACCGTGGTACTTCCACATCTCACTGTCCCTGCTACAAAATCAGGACCTTTCCCTATGGCTCTCTGAATCAGCGAGTAAAGAGGAAGAGAAGTGAGAAGAGGAAGTTTGCACAGTATGTTTGTTAAAAAAACAAACTTCAGCGTTCTGTCCCGAGCAACGCTCTTGAATTTTCTGGTTAGCCTCAGGATCCTGATGAAGGGGACACAAGCCTGTCCACTCGTGTTACCTGCAACAGCTAGCCTAAAAGCCTCTGCCTGCACCCACAAGCCTCATTCCTCCCGCCCTGGGCCCCCCACCCTTGTCACGCTACCACCCTCCTGCTGACCACCACAGGCTGGCTTCCACATCGCAGGGCTGCCAACCTGCAAACACGAAAGCGAGAGAGTAAGCTCATCTCCCACCAGGGAATAACTTGCACGAATGACTAGCAAATCAGTTTTCATGGTCGTTATCCTTTTTTGCTGAGAAGCTCTCTGAAAAGCAAAGTCCTGTTCTGAGTGTTGCCGAGCAGGGTGAATGGGATGATGCCGAACAGGATAAAATGAGCATGATTTTTAGAGCCTCGGACAAATTTATACAGTCCAAACACTTAAATGCCAGCCACCATAGCATATCCACAGAGAGCACTGACACCAGAAGTTAAAGTAATCCTTATTTGAACTGGCCGAAGCCTGACCACTTACTAAAAAAGCCTGCTGTTTGCGTAAGTACAGTCTGCAGTAAGTGCCGCTGAAGCCACAGCCTTGCCCTAGGCTGTTCTCGTCCGACTCAGAGCCACAGGGTAGTCCTCCCACTTCTGGGCCCCCTTTCTCGGTGCTGTTACTGGCAGCACTAACCTCTCAAATCAAGCAAGCGAGCAGATTTGCTAACACCTGGCTTTGTACAGTCAAGGGAATAAAAAGGAGGAAAAAAAAAATCCTTGATTTTAATGCTTCAGCTCTAGTCGGAGCATCTCCTGCAGGAAGGGTTTGTACCAAAGAAAGAAAAGGCAGTGATTTAACATCCCACTGGTCTAAATTTTCATTTCTACAATTTAGTTTAGGTACTCTGAAAAATCCTCAAGTGCTGTATTTCTGAGTGGGGCATTTACATTACATCACTTCTCTCTCCTTCCCCTACCAGTTAGTAAAATAAACGGCGAGTCTGCAGAACAGATACTGTAAGAAAAAGGTAACCGAAGAACTTTGATAACTTGCTTAAGAAATCCAGTTACGTGGCTCAGTTTCCTCTCAAAGTATCCAAGCCTGCAAGCAAAACCCTTACTGAAGCTAGGAATTCTTCAGGTGGAGGGCAAGCTTGCAGGATTTGGTCCTCAGGGAACATCAACTGAAAATACTGGATTCAAAGAGATTTATTCTGAAATAAGCAGGCTTCACATCAGCTAGCCGCAGTTTTTGAAGGCTTCTCTCTGATGCAAGCGGTATTAAAAGCTACCCGCGGGGTCTGCGTGCCCAAAGAGAGCCGCCTCTTGTTTGGCATGTGTATCTTCTACCAGTGAGGGTCTGAAGGAGGGGACGCAGGCTACCCTCTCTCTGCTCTATTTTGGTATAACAGATTATTGTGGTAGCCAAGACAGCTATGGATGTGTTCATTTCAAATTTTAAATACATTAGAAACTTAAAATATACATAACCCTAAATTTCACAGGTAAAAAGAGAAGTGGGAGCTGACTTTAGATAATTCCCATTTAGCTACTTAAAGAAGATTCATACCTGAACATTTGAAATGATGCCTTTGCCCCCAAATGGCATTGTTAGAAAGCCTATAACCCTAACAGATGCAGCTCTTCATTTACTCTTGTAATTCATGCTTATACGCTGCAGTGATTAAAGAGCAAACCACAACCACAGATCTGATGGTGCCGATTAATCCCCTAATCCAGTTGGCGTCCAGAGAGCTGCAGAGAAGCCCGCAGCTCCCCTCTTCTCTGTAACAAACCGACAGGGCGACTCCAAGACACCTCTTCCTACAGCCGCAGGGAGGGAAGAAGCAACCTGGGCAGTGACTCTCACCTCGGGTGGCCCAGGAGTCAGCGCAAGGCTGGATGGCAGAGTGCTTGGGATGGAAAGGTCGCCGGGCCGGCTAAAACCTCCCTCATCTGCGGCTCTGAGGCGACGCAGAGGAACGTCTCTGCCGTTCCTGCAGAGTCCCGAGAGGGTGCGTCTGCACAGGATTTGAATTTCTCTGACCACAACGGCATCTTACGCAAAAAATAGGCTCTCAAGACAAAAAAAGGCACTTTGCTTTTAAGTAATTGCAGACATCCCTCTGCTGCAAAAAGGCAATGCCTAGGAAAAATAAATTGAGATTCAACTGTAAAAACTGCACGTCTCTTGGGGCGTAAAGATGTACGCCCCAGGCAACACCCCAGGCTTTATTTAGTATGAAAGGCAGAGACCGAGAGAGGGAGACAGGCTTTAAGCACTATCAGTCTCATTTGCACAGCCCTGGCTCCTCAAGGAGAGGCAGGTGTAGGAAGAATAAATACAACCTGGCGCTCTGCCTGGAGAATAACATCAACAGTTCTGCCACAGACCAATGCTACGCGGATTGAGGCAAATCGTACCTGAAGGCCTGATATGATCTTTCATTTGACCACTTCCTGAGTTTTCTTTTTGTTTTTTTGGATGAAAAGAAAATGAAGCTTTTTGCCTAAAAAAAAGAAGCCGTGTAGAAAAGGTGACTAATATTATCATTCCTCCAGCAAATATACTCTTAAGGGACAAGTAAAAACATAAACAGCACAGCTTCCTGTGACCTCTGCAGGACTGGAGTCCGTAGAAAGGATTAAGAGGCTCAAATATTTCTAAGAAAGGAATTTTGAAAGTCCACAAATCCTTTTTGCTGCAAATTTATGTCCATATACTTTTAAATGAAAGGAAAAAACCCTGTAGATAACCCACAGTGACACTGGCTAAAGGGTACTGGCTCTCATTCTGCAGGACATGCGCTAACTGCCAGGCAGAAATTTTCCTTATCTGTGTAGAGATGTTAAATATTTTCAGTGCTGTGTAACTGGATAGACTATAGATTAGTATTTTCTCTCCACCTCTTCCTTGTGAAGCATTTCTCAAGGGCTTCTGTGGCCAGATACCCCATTGCCTGTCTGTCCCGCTATTCCCTTGCTTTGGGAAGTATTTAAGAAAGATCCCACTCTAACAGATGTTTATAATGTCTCTCATAGCAAAGGACGAATCTGCAGAAAACAGTACCCAAGGAGGAAAATCTGCTTTCTTTTTCAAAGTCTCCTGAATATTCAGTCCGAACATACCAGAATTGAACTATGTCTCAACAGTTTCTTTCAGACATTAAGACACTCGTATGTCCAAAACTCAAAAAGCACAGTTGGAATAGTTTACAGCGCATTAATGAACATGTGACATATGCGTCTGCACTGGAAATCCAAAGACAACATGGAACATGCAAGGGTGGTGGTCAGGACGTCTAAACGTGTCTAACCATGCTGTTTACCCTTTAGGAAATGGTAGGACAATGGGGTTAGATTCACCCAAAATGTCTCGGGTGGCTGTCGTTAGCGCTCAGGAAGTTTTATCCATAAAGTACGCCACTTGGAGACTTTACAGAAATGTGGAGATGGCAAACAGCACTGCAGCCTAGCGAATTCTCACTGTCATTGTGTGCGCGCGCTCTGACACTGGACGTTTTTAGCGCTAAAACCAAGTGACAACTAAAGGGTTAACACCACAAGTTTAGACAGGATGAGACAGCATTTTCCATGCAAGAGTGAGCAGGATAGTCAAACCTGTACTGGTCCCTTCTACTGTGGGAAGCACAAGACAAAAAGTAGAGGGTACACTATCAGAACAGGCATACATCACTTCCACCGATTTGATTTTCAGGCAACCGTAGTGCCAAGGCCACCGGTTCTCAAGAGCAGCCAGAGTACACGCCCCAGGGAGCGCTGCCGCGCAGCTCGCGTTTGCTTTGCTCTAAGCACAGTGCGCTCTGCAGCCATGCTTAGTTCCACAGCATGAACCAGCACCCAAAACGTTCCCTGAAAAAATAAACGGGCATGTTTATTTACTCCTTCTCAGTCCAACCGCATCCTCGCATCATTTTAAACTGCCCTTCGCTCAAGGCAGGCTCTTGAGGAAGGAAGCCCTTCCCACATCAGAGCTGCCCAGAGGAATTCAGTATGGTTTGGGCCGGAGTTCCCCAATGCAGACTTGAGCTCAACCCTCTCCCCAGGATAAGTCACGCCTTGCAGGCACGGGGGCTCTTACCGGTAGGGGGCTGCCCGTAGGACGTTGCATACGCAGTCTGCCCGTACGTCGCAGTCGTCTGGGGCTGTGTGTAGCTGACGTCGGTGGGTTGTCCGTAGGTTCCGTAACTCTGTTGCCCATATGTCTGCTCCAAAGACGACACAAATTTAATTCGCGAACAGAAGTGACTCACAGGCATTGCAGAGATACACACAGAGTGTTTCAGTGATGTACACAGACTGGGGGATCTGTGTTACCTGATGTACCGAAAGCAGAGTCAAGCCAAGGCTACTGTGAAAGTTTGGGCGCTACTGCAAATTTTCTGGAGTTCAGAACTCCAGTGAAGTTAAAAATGCAGTTTTTCAATGCCGGGACCGGAGGGGCAGCCTCTTACATTTTCACAACACACCTCTGCTCTACGTAATGCAAAACATGAAAGCATCCAGCTCCTTATAATGGCCTGGGCACCCATCAACACTCACAGGTACCTCCCAAGGGCTAACATGAAACACGGGGAGTGGGACTACTCAGAGGGCAGAACTGCACAAAGTAAACCAAGTCAATTATTTCAGCACAAAACTGCTTTAGTGTTCACTAGAAGAAACCTATTTAAGGTTTCAATGAAGTTATTCTGAATATTCTTCATGTCCACCAGCCAATAGTTTGAAAAATCAGAGTTTATGTAGGCATCCAAGGACGGGATCAGCAGGAGCATCCAAGGGCTTGCCATCACCAAACTATCCCGGTTATAGCTACTCCTGTCCCAGTGCCTTTGCATTCAGCGAGAGATCGCACCTTCCCTCGAGCTCATTTTCAAGTCTAGACTATCACTAAAGGACGGCTTCTGCCCATTGTCTGGTTCAATCCTGACAGCACCGCAAAGCAACTCCTCAGCCGTGGCGATCCGATCTGCAGTGCAGTGTGGCTGGGTTAGCGCCGAGCTCCTGGCGCTGCAGTTTTACCAGCTAAACCTCAGCCCTGCGCCACGGACCAACCGGCTCAAACTTCAGGCACCAGCCAACTTCCAACTGCTTTGTGCGGCCAGCAGTTTGGTTAGTTACAGCTCAAGAAGCAACATGAGGACAGCCTTAACATCCAGACTCTGAAAGGGATTTACTGACTCCTGTGGGAGCCTGGAACTTAAACGCCTTTTGGGATTTAAGCCTGTGAGCCAGCCGCCCTGAACTCAAGCCACGGATCTTAACCAAGAGTAGAAAAGCCTTGACCAGATGGAATAGGTCACTGTCAGTGGAAGCTCACTACATCAAGAGGCAGGAAACGCTGCAAACCTCCCATGGCTATTTGCCTACAGCTGAGTTCAGTTGGGTAGTTGTTTTAGTCTCGCACTAGAGGATATTGTTGAGACCTTCTGTTCTTACACTTGCCAGTTCGCTTACACTTGTCCTTCTGTGTAACCTCCACATTTGGTAGCCGTTCTTGCAATTGTTCTGTCTCAAAATACTTATTCAAAATAAAAGTTGCTGTCACCTTCATTTAAGCCGACCCAAATGCCAAGGCTGAACCTGTGCTCCTCCTGTAACACTGCTGTTTTTCACAAAGGGCCTTCTTACCCTGCTGCAGGAAGAAGCGAGTGTGGTATTCACGCAGCCTCACTGCCCTGGACTGGCGAGCGCAGGCAGCAGCAGGCAGCGTGGCACAGGTCGCCTGAGCAGGCACAGGAAGGTAGCTCCTGCTCAGCCCTGCAGCACCAAAGCCAAGCTGTTGCACAACCAGAATTAACCCATTTAAAGCTGCTCGCTAACGCTCCAACACGACAATGTGGTGGTTTTTATCTCCGTAATACAGACATACTCCTGGGCGGCAGGGTTTTCCCTTCAAAAACCTCTCTGGAGAGGCGGGGGAAAATTAACCTACACTGCTTTTTGAGGACAAAAGTTTAGCTTTGAAAACAAACTTGGAGTGTGCATACAAATGTGTTTTTTAGTAACTGGTATGCTAAGGATTGAAAATAAGCATGGTTTAATTAATCTCTTACAGATCATCATCATTTTGCAGTCTAGCCGACTGAGAGTATTAATAGTTTTAGCAACAATACCTCCATGAAAAAAATCTTTTCCCTCCTCCTACTTTGACCAACTGCTGCAATCTCACAAATGGCCATTTCCTCCTTTTTTTTTTTTTCACGTTTTTCTCTCCTGCACCGCTGAGTAAAACACCCACCAACATGGCGGCGTCAAACGTACACCGAGAATTAGGCTTTTATAACCCTCTCGACAACAACCACCTTAGGCTCAGATATACTAACAAAGAAGGGGACTGTTGAGGCTCCTCGACGTTTAGGTTGTTTTCACTTTAAGAAAGCAGCTGGGGCTGTGTGGGAAGCTACAAGACAACTTTTAATGACAGATTTTGATGTTGCCGCTCAGCGTTTTTCATGTAGTTTACTGGAAGACATGTGATTCAGCAGCAATTATAAAACCGTCCCGTGTTTTACCTGGGTGGTCTGTGCATATCCTTGAGCTGGCTGAGGTGCATACGCGCTGTAGCTGTAAAATGAATTTAAAGACATTTATAATGAATCCCCGTATTTCTGACTTGCACAAAACATGTAACACAAGACAATTTTCACGTATCCAAATGGTTTCTGCTGAAATACTATGGCAGTACAAAATTTAAAAGCTAAACGAAAACCATAGGATTTACAAACATACTCGAGTTATGACTAAACCACAATTATTATATACTTATATTACACCTTTTTAAAACAGAGAGAATAAGACCATAATGCTACTTACGCCTGCTGAGCTGCAGCTTGGCTATAGGTACTATAATCTACAAGAAAAGGAAAAAAAAGAAAAAAGGTTGACAAAGGCTTAACAAAATTAACAGTGTAAGAGCACAGCAGCTGGAATTTCCTCCTGCATCTTGAAAGAACTACTATAAACCGCTGGAAATGCAGTTTCAAAAGAGTGTAAGGTAAATGCCCTTTTTCAGTCTTTTAGAAGGAAACAAAACCTCTCTTCCCGTCATTGTTACTGCTGTTTGCAGCAGCAACTTTGATCTCAAATGACCCTACTTTAATTTAACTGCCACCTTGGATGACACCCAAGGGGGCTGGCAGGAGGGTGTTTTGTTTTGGAACAAAAGAAACACTGGGGCTGACACTTGCAAACCCCCCGCCCCGGTTTCAGAGGGCCAGGTTGCAAGCTTTTGGGTCTGTAGAAACCACTGCACTTCACTCTTTCTGTTTAACTTTCAAGGACACAAACAAATGGCTGGGAAGTTCTAACACTTGTCCCCTTGCAGGGTTCGAGATGGGCAGCTAGCAGTAATTCCTTTCTCAAAGCCCCGATCCACACCAATACCCTGATTTAGACGAGAACTGAACTCCTGAAAATCCAAGCAGAAAAGTCTACGCTGAACTGGTTTGCTGGCGGGAATGGAAAATGTGTCCACATGCCAATTACAAGGCTATATTTGAAATGATTACAGCTCCTAAACGTACGCTTTCCCTCAAAGTCACCAAGCAACTCCAGTTCCCATCCAAAATTCTAGAGCGAATGATGAATTCATCACTCAGACCAGACCTTGCCAGATTCCAGCTCTCCCGTGACCACAAAAGTCCCAAGGACAGAGCTCAGGAATGAGTCCAGACCTTGCTCGCATCTGCCGCTCGGGCCACGGCATCTGACTGAGCTGGAGGCAGAGGCTGAACATCAGCAGAGCTTTTCTCAGGCACAGCCAGAGAGTCCTGTGCGGGAAGAGGTTTCGGTGTTCTATTGTGATCGCACCTCGGGGTACGCTGATCTCAGTTAGCAAACTGAAGATTACGAATTTGAGGAACCCAGCTGATGACTTCCTACAGCCTTCAGTTACCCCTAGGCTGTAAGGAACGCTTTAATGCCTTTATCACGCTGTTTACAACTGACGGTGACAGAGCACGAGGAATAATTTTGAAAATACTGTTTTCATGCACCAGAACCTCCTGTTTCTCCAGGCTGTGGATTCACCGCTCATAAAGCTCTCCTCTCCTCCTTCTAACCCCTCTATGTGAGCTTACGGCTCTTCCTCCTTTGCACTTCCCTCCGCTGATGCCGGAGCTCAGACCCAGGGGTGCGTATTGATGGACAAGGAAAGGAAGTGCCATGACTCTGGTAGTGACTTTTGACAGGTATTAATTACTTCAACCTTGCACCAAAGTGCAGGAATTGATAGGAGTACACAAGGAAGATGACCGAAATATCACGCACAATAAAAAGACGCTGAACTGCTATCCAAAGGCTTCCGTGCTCCCGAGACGCAGCACACAAGTTGTTAAACTACTCTGGCACCACTCCTGCTTTCCTTACAGGTGTCATGTTTAATATCGAAAGATCTAGCTTGTTCAATTCAGGGTCACTGCTCTTTTTTTTTCCAGTTACACGTGGCTCTAAGCTCTGCTAAATCCTGAGTGTTAAAAACCATTAATGCCCATTCCCCCTCATCCATCTTCCCTCTCCCACCACCTCCTTGTACCAGCACCCCTCCATCCTCCCCGACATCTCACTGTACACCCTCCTCCACCCCCGCCTCTTTTCCAAGCCTGTTCACCCTCCAGCCACTGAAACCTCCACTCTCTTCATTCAATTCTCATTTCTGCACAGTCCCCCAGGCTGTTAAAAAGTGGCCAGGCTGCTGAGCACGGACCTCCCCAACTTCACCCCTTGCTGGTAGACCCCCAGCAACCTACCACCCTCCCAAAGAGCTGCCGGGGCCTTGAGCTATGTAGATGGTCTTCAGCTAAACACCCATCACGCATCCCTTCTCACAGCCTTCCCCCAGTCCTACCTAGACATGATATTTTCCCCTTTGTAGGATTTAAATCCAGGTGTTGAATTTGCAACTTGTCTCTGGCAATTCCTCTCTTCTAATTCTAATCGAATTTAGATTAATGCAAAATGTTAAAAAAATATTATGGTTCATTTAGTTAAAACCATCTCTGAGCCATTATTTCCAGTGGGAAATTAATCTTCATCCTTCTATTTCACGAGGCTCAAGAGCACAATAGTGAAGCTGAAAATAGCAGCTCCCACGGAAGAACATTTCCATGTATTAAGTGGAAAGACAGCTGTATTTTTAAACCCCATTTTGACAATTCCATTGGCACGTGTTTCTTTAGTAACTTTTTTTTTTTAAAACCTCTCCAAGGTGATATTAGTCATATTTCCCTCACGCTCCGTGGCTTGTGACATTTTCCTCCGCAGAGAGGTCCGACCTTTGGCTGTTGAGTTTTAAGGCTGCTTTAAGGCTGATGTTGCCACGGTTGGTAAGTCTCAATTTTGACCTATTCGCATCCAGTTGGAGCCCTCGTGTAAACGCATGTTTCCTTCTATGATGCTTCACCTGTTTTATTCAAAGAAATTATATTTGCACCAGAAACCATCCTGAATAGCCACCAGAAAGGCTACGGAGGAAGCCTTCAGTAAGGGCACAGAAAGAGCATAACTCAAAGAATCTTCTAGGACTGGAGCACCAAGGATCCACTATCATAAACAATCCTTTAACAAACATCTAGGAGAGATAATGTGGACACTGCAACCCCAGGGAGGCACCGGAGGGTCCCGGCCACTGCGGGGACCGCGGTGCTGGGGGGAGACGGGCTGGGTGGGGGCCAGGACGGCCACGAAACCCGCAGCCCAGCCAGGAGGGAGCCCGCCACC